GGAGCCTTCAGCCCGCAGGCTGACCTCCGAGTCCACGTCCTGGGCATTTCCTTCAGCCTTCAGCACACGTGTCCTCGGTGCGGAGGAGACGTTTATGTGAATGAATGCATGAACGATGGGCAAAGGAAGCATCTACTGAACTATCAGAGCCAGACTCCTACGTGCCCCCAAGCTGCCTTCAGCATCACCCACCCAGCATCAGCTTCTGAACAGGCAGCACCCAAATTTGTGTTCCTTAGACTCACCCAGGGGACTTGCGAAAAATGCAGATTTCTGGATCCCACTCACACCAAGATCCCAAGTCTGTAGTGAGGGGTCCAAAATGAGCTCTTTTTGTTCCGGGACCACGCACTCTAACGACCTAGGGGCCACTCTGACCCAGGTGCTCAGGAGGCCACACCTTGGCAGATGCTGTGCCGAGCTGTGGTCTTTTCAAGACACAGATCTGACGGTGTCTTCCCCGCTTCAGCGGTTCCGCACTCCTTCCAGACACGATGTGGGGACGGAGGTGGCCTTCGTCCACTGTCACAGCTACACACGGGAGGCCAGCCCCGTCCTTCTCGCTCTGCCTCTGCATTCCCACTGCCATCGGCCAGGAGTGCCCACCCCAGCTTCCTCCTGGGCCAAGTCCCACTCAGCCCTCATGGATGGAAGACGCTCCCCTGAACCTCCTCTGGGGCGCTCTCTGCCCTCCCAGGTTGGATTTGCTTCTTGTCCTATCTCCTCCCATATCACCTTCCATAAATTCCCCCCGATTCCTTTTATTTAACAAACATGCATACAGTGATTACTGCATGCTAGGCACTGTTCTGAGTGTTTTATATATTATCCACTTACTTAATCCTTTACTGACCCTATGAAATGGGAACTCTCATTATCCCCATTTTACAGATGAGGAAACTGCGGCAGGAAGAGGGGGACTAATGTGTCACAGAGCTGGTAAGTAGAGGACAGGGATTAGATGAGGCAGTCGCCAGAGCCCATGTTCTCTCCCATGTCCTCATGCTGTCGCCTCTTACGTGTCCCAGCAGGTTGCACACGGTGTTCCAGGTGTCTGCTCCTGACTCCGCGCTAGACAGAGAGCTCTTGCAACCCTGGAGGGATTAACCTCCCAGCCCAGGGCCCAGCAAACAGTACAAACTCAAGAATCTTTTGCTGAAGGACAAAGTTGTACATGCTCATGTCACTGAATCAACAATGAACATAAAAATCATGAAACCTCAGAGTCTGAAGAGACTGCAAGTGGGATCAAGTGCAATGACCTTCCTAATAGTTTACCCTTCACAGAGCGACACTCCAGAGGTGGCACACCTCCCATTTCACCTGTGTGACGCTGATGCTTGACTGAAAGGTGGCTCCACGGTCACGCAGAACAGGCCCGACTCCTCCTACAGGGGGCTCTTCAGACACTGAAGACAACCCCGGCTTTCACTCTGGGGGCAACCCTGCCTCTTCCGCCTGGGCTCTGGATCTCCAGGCCACCGAACACCTCCCTGGGAACCTGCTCTGGTCAACGGGGGCCCTATCCAAGACGGTGACCCCAGATATAGGTGCCATGTGCCCAGTTTAGATTAACCCTACCGTAATAGCCAATGAACTCTGATAAAAAAAACAAATAAATGTATGATAAATAAATGTATTTCACACCCCACCCCACCCCCCGCCCCACTCCCAACACACACAGCTGAAGTAACATCAGCCTCGGCAGCCTTTGGAACAGCACAAGCCCTGGTTCCCGAGGGTGACACACTGCCACGGGACTCTGTACTGTTGCTCAAAAGTTCGATGCTGATTCAGCTTCCAGAGCCAAGCGGCTTCCCACAAGGTCTCTGTTCTCACACCACCATTGCAAAGCAACAACCAGGATCACAGCAACAGCAATTAACTGCATTTCACAGAAGGAGAATCAGCGGCTCCAGGAGGTCAAACTGGCCCAAGGGCACACAGCTGCGAAGGGGCAGAGCACCACTCAGATGCAGGGCTGGGCTCCAGGACTGCCGGCTCCTGCCCGCTGCCATGTCGGGACTGCCATTGGAACACAGCGGAACGAGCATGAAGCAAGCGCTAAGGAAAGGTTGCGCCGAGCAGGAAAATGGACGATTACAAATGAGCAGAAAAGGGAAAAGCAGCGAGTCATTCCCGAGTCTTCCCGTCCCAAGGGTCTCCGCCTGCTGCACCCCCGGAGTCCTTCAACGTGAGGTTATTTCCCCCTCTGCTCATTTTAACGGGAATAACTGAAGATATTTATGCTTTCTGGTTCCCTCCTACAACTTAAACATCAGGAATTTCAGAATGTCCCTATTTCAAAACTCATAAACACCAAGGACTTGGAAATACAAAATGATTGATCTTCATTAAAGGCCACTAGCATATAGCAAGTTAATTTAAAATAAACATATTTTGAGAAACTATGAAATGTATCTTAACCTTTTCTTCTCTGCCACCTCTACCCCTGACAGTGTATAGAAATGCCCAACACACATAAGCACTTAATAAATGTATGTGGGTTCATGGACACACTTTCTGTATCAAGAAATAGAAAAATGCTTATTTAAACAACCTGGTTTTTAAAATTGCAACCTGGTTCATTACTTTCTCATGTTCAACACATCAGAAAAAGAAAATTACCAACAGGACGAAATAAAATATATAATCATTACAGAAAGCACACAAAACTGTCCTGTTTACTTAAAGCACGAGAACACCAAGTTATATCTGATGGCCTCAAATAGTGTCCCTAAAATAACGGCAAGTGTTAATTTAGTATCCAGAAGTTAATCAAAAGAAATGGTGAAGAAAAAGTCCATATATTTCAGGGTAGGAATGAAATGTTACTCAAGCATATACCTTTGTATCATGAATCAGCGAAGTCTCTAACACCATAAAAATCAGCAACCAACAAAGCAATTAAATAAACACAGCAATTAAACTCCATTTCCACAGAGATGGGTTTACCCCAGATTACATTTACCTAGAAGCAGAAGGGCAGTGAGGGCATCCATGGCTCAGTATCTTTCTGAACTCCGACGTATCAGAGAAGGAAAGAGCGCAGACCCAAGCAGGCTAACTCACCCTGCAAAATTTTCCTTTCAAAAAGTATGGCCGAAAATTGGCTCTCCTAAAACAGAAGGGACTTTCACAAGAGTTATATAAGCAAAACACACAGGCCAATTCAGTGACGTGGAAACCACCTCATGCAAAAGAAACGCAGCAAACACAAGTGACCCCCATTCACGCCTCGGATCCCGTCAGCTTCTCGGGATAAAAACCCAGGCTGATTGGAAGCTCCTACCTCTCCGACCAAAGGATGGAAAATTTTTAATGAAAAGTTATAAACGATTAAACCACTGAGAGTCCTCACACACTTTTGGGACAGGATTCCTATTTTATGGCTTGTTAACCATCTGGAGTATCTTTAAACTTCCTACGTCCACGTCTCAGGACGCTTTTCCCACTCAGGAAGGCCAGGAGTGTTCTAAATCCTCTGCACCGTGGCAGTGCCTGTCACACGCGCCACTGTGTGCATGGACCCTGTCACAAATGAGGTGAATCAGGGAAACCTGCTTCAAGCTGCCCCTCTTCAAACCACTTATTCCAAATGCCAAGTCTTTCCCCCTCGGCACAGCCCACTCACCGAGCCACCTGCTCGTCTCTCCGTCATTCAAACTATGACAGAAACGCCACCTCCTCACAGAGCCCTCCTCGGCGGTGATGGGTGCCAACCACCTGTCTCCATCCATGAGGGGGAGGAGGTAAATGGAGGGAAGGCGCGTGACAGGGAGGACACCATTCCCCGCACGGCACAGGCGTTTCGTCGACTTCAAGGAGCAGCACCAGACGCAAAGGGAAGCAGGGTCAGCCTGCTTTTCGGAGCAGGTGGAGATTCATTCATTCATTCATCTCACCAACATCACGAAACACCTACTGTGTGGTGGGCAGAGCAGCTCCTCGGGTACAGAGGGAAACAGGATGTGGTCTCTGCTCTCAGAGAGCAGACAGACTCGTAGGAGGAAAAGATACAAGAGCTGAGAATGATAATACTGCATGGTTAGTGCAAGGAGGGAAATGCGTTCAGAATGATGTGCGTCAAAGAAGCACCGGGCTCAGCTGGGGGCCATGGAAGGATCCTGGAGGAGAAAGGGGCTGAGTGAACCAGGTGGAGGACAGGGGGGGAGGGAGGTGAGGAGGAGAGCACTCCAGGCAGAGGGGCCGGCGGGATCCAGGCGGGGAACAGGCTGGGTATGGAGAGAATGCCAAGCAACTGGGCAATGCTGTGTCATCAAGTCCAAGGTGAGAGAGAGGCCACAGGACGGTGAAGGGCCTCTGAGACCATGGGCCACCACTGAAAGGCTACAACCAAGGGTTGTAGGGTCAGGTCTGTGTTTGAGGACAGCCACTCTTGGGGAGCAGCGCGGTGCACAGATGTGGGCCCAGCCTGAGCACAGGCTCCCAGTAAAGGGCAAAGTGCTGGGTGGCGAGGTCCAAGGCCTGGCTTCACAGCCGCATTCTTGCCTTGCCACACGCAATGTCCCACGCGCCGTCCCTGCTGCCCAGGGGCTGAGTTTCACACCTGATGCGCCACCGTTCCCAACAACTCACTGCTCACTGAACATAAAATAGACAGCCAGCCACAAAGGACCAGCCAGAGGGCCAAACCCTCTGCCCTGTGTGGCTCCGCATGACCAGAAAACAAGTGGGCCCCTCAGAGTCTCGCCTCGGGAACCTGAGAATCGGGGAACGGCCAGGCAGTTCAGGAATCTGTGCAGTAGCCGAACACGGGGCACGAGGCCCAGTAAGCGCTTGCTCCTCATGGCCCAGAAAGACACTAGAACAACTGCTCAGTGGGTCAGGGTTCCTGTCCTGGCCTTCCCCCATTGGCACCGATAAGAAACAGACTTGTCGTTTGCAACCACACTGTTCACTTGGGACAGCAAGGGCTCGGGGCCTCCTTGTTCGTCCGAGGGCCCTCTCGCTGAGGGTCCCCCCCGCCCCGTACTCACAGAACTGCAGGCTGAGGCTCAGGAAGGCCAGCAGTGCAGCGAGGGCCAGCAGCAGCAAGAAGCGGTTGCGGAAAAGCATTATGATTTGTTCTGTCTCCTCTTCATGGTTTCACCTCAAAGCGGGAACATGCCCTGTGAATAAAGCAGAGGCAATGAACGTGTGTTCCGAGGTGGAAAACCAAGTCTGTCAACTGAAAATAATTCAATGAGCCCAGGCCTCTGGCAGGCAAACACGAGTCCTCGTGGGAAAGGAATGGCGAGCTACGGGTCCTGTCTGCCCCCAGACAAGGCCTGCCAAGAACAGGTCCATCAAACTGGTGTAAGAGGAAACCAGTTTCATTTATCTGATCTCGACAGGGAAGGAGACACTTTAAAGCATGATGTTTCCAAAGAAACATGTAAAGGAAGTTTATTGAGAACTTACAGTGTGCCAGACAATGAAGTGTTTCCCGGACCAGCTCATGCTCACCCCATTCCGACCCCCGACTTCCACCTCCAACATTTTTTGATGAATGTTTTGCTAAGATGACTCCAGTCTTCTTTATTTTTTAACGTTAACCTGAATGTCAATCACTGCTGCATGTGCAAACGTAATGTGTTTAGGGACAGCAGGGGTGTGCCAGAGGACTTCCTCCTATAAGTGGCCCCCTCTGCTGATTAGAGACCTTCCCCCATCCTCACCACTGAGCTATTTCAGCTGCACCCATGGGTCTCCTGCAGCCCCACCCACCCTGTCCTCTCACCACCTCAGACCTGTGCAAAGGACTTTAAAAAAATGTTGAATGACGCCTTAACTGACCCTTCTATGAAAGAAAAAGTGAATGTTTGCTATAGGTTTTACCCCCTTACTCTTAGATACCAGGTTTATTTCCTGGTCTCATTGGCATTTGAAATAGAACTTGAAAATCACATTCTCTTCAGAAAAGTCTTCAACTAGAATAAAATTAAAACAGCATTTCCAACTGGATTTTATCGAAAGAATCTTTTCCTCCTTCAAATAAATCTCTTCTGAGCCCAGATAGACACCGTCAGATAAAAGCTCATGTGCAGATGTGGTAAGGGACAGAGAACTTTGTGAGGATACTAAAAACTACTAAATTGCGTGCTATGTGAATTCCATCTCAATAAAGCTGTTTTATTGTTTCTCTCTCTCTCTCTCTCTCTCTCTCTCTCTCTCTCTCTCTCTGTGTGTGTGTGTGTGTGTGTTTAAAGCTTATCTGAGGGCATGAAACAGCAGCCAGAGCCCTGGAGTCCCTTAGTGCCCATCCCCACCCCACAAGGGCCCCGCAAAAGGAGTTTGAGAACCACTCCTTTAAGGGATATGTCAGACTTTCTGCCAACAGAGAACATTTGCTAAAAGACTGACGGAAATACACGTGTACCTCACAACTGGGCCTGGGCACTGGCAACCAGCATCTCTGTTAATAAATAGATCCCACTTTTATACCTTCAAAGGAACATGGTTTCTGTCCCTTTGGTCCCTGCCCCCACTAAGGGCCAGTGCCCAGTGCCCCAAGACACCTGCACCTCTTTCTGGGACACTCCCCTCCCTGCCCTGGTGACATCTCTTGCTTCAGCACCTCAGACACCAGACCCGCCTCTCGGCTGCTCTGTGCATGGCTGTGGGAGGTCAGGGCCTTTCTTCGGGGGCTGGGCCAGGCCTGGCCCCTCAACCACTTCCTCCCTCCAGCCATTCAGGGATTTTCCATCACACCTACTGGCAGCTGTGGCTATTAGTATCACTAAGTCTGTGCCCTTTGGTTTCACTGGACACTGCCTTTTCCTGTGAGGACGAACTGCAAGATGGTTCAGAGTTGTCTTCATGTGGGCATCGTGTGGGAACAATTGCTACGTGCTGAGTTAACCCTCAGGCTTGTAGCATGTAGATTTGCTGCAGCAATGACCCCCAATTTGTTCATGCCTTTCTGGGTGGCCTCGTATCGTCTCCTCCCACACTGACTCTAAGCTTGGAATAGGGATTGGCTTGGGCTAATGGGACAACCATGTTGCTGAAGAGTCCTCATGGCATGGGGCTTGTCCTCCTTTGCTGCTTTTGGAACTCTAAGACCACCACGTGAAGACGCCAGGCTGGAGGCTGGAGGCTGGAGGCTGGAGGCTGCCAGACCACAGGCAGCCAAGGCTGCAAACAACCAGCCTGCCAATCACCATACAGGTGAGCAAGGCCACCCCAGACCACCCTGCCTGGCCGTGCCGCCGGCAGATGGGTATCTGGAGGGTCAGCCCAGACAAAGAGAACCGCATGGCCAACCCACATATCACAAGCAAATACAATGGTTGCTGTTTTAAGCCACTACGTTTTGGGAGCTTAATACAAAGCAAAGGAGTACAGATACAATAAGAGGAAAAGCCCTACATCTTCACTAGGAATTTCCACGCCAGGGACTAGATCTCCACATGCTCATCTGCATGCTACATGCAAAGCTCCATCTTGTCTACGTTCCTCAATACGCTGAGTGCTGTTTGGAAAAGGAGCTATATTTAGTTCTAGATGTAAAATACTGAGGACATGTTGGGTTAACCAGATGGCTGGGATCACGTGACTGTCTTACTGCTTTTAGTTTTATCTCCTGACATCTCTGAGTTTCTGATGCTTTTTGCATTTGGTGACACAGGCCTCAATCTGGGAGCACCCACCCTTTCTCCTTGATACTGTCTGGGTTTCTGTGCCTTCCCCCTCTGGCGCTCCTTTGGCAGCTGCCAAATGCCAGGCCATGGTCAGAGTCTTGTTGCCATCACTTGTGCTAGGGACCAGCTTGGTGTGTCACAGCCCTGGGAGTGTGTACATGACTAGAGGGGCAGGGGTACGACAATGACACTGAGCATAGCGGCAGACATGCCTTCTTCTGCAGCCCGTTTCCTTAGACAACCAGGAGAGGAAGGTCATACTTTGTTCTTAACTTTTAAAAAATTACTATAATGATGACATAATCCAAAATTCACATGTATTAGAAGATAGTTTTGTTTGTAGCAGGCCCTAGGACTCTGTCCAATGTGTGTGTGTACCCATGTTCATATCCAACGTGGGGACCAGGGTACACGGTTCTGCCCTGGAGTGTGTCTTCACTGGAGACACTACCCTGACACAGTAGAAAGGAGACTGGCAGATCTGTGACAATTCCCTGCTCTGCCCCTTGTTTTCCATGTGCCCCCTTCTCAACAGACTGACTTCGCTTCTCTGAGTCCGGATCCCGTCATTAAAGAAGGGGATGAAGAGCATAAAAAGGCAGAGGAACACCTGTCGCCATGTGCACAGTGGCACAGAGTCTCCCCATCATCATGGAAACACAAAGATCCGCCCTTTCCCCTGAGCTGCTGCTTCTGCCTCATGTGGTTCCTCTCCCAAATCCTGGCCACTGGCCACTTCCATACTCGCTGGCCGGGCCCCAACCGTCAGGCCGGCAGCCACGTTGGCAGCCGCTCCTGGTGAGCCTTCCCCAGGCTGACTCAGCTGTGGTGCCCCCACCTCGCCACAAGCTTGCCTGCCTGGAACATCTGTGTCAGCTTGTTGGGCCCGGCCTAAGAAGACGAGATTACCAGCCAATGGGCTCTCTCCGCCCCTGTGACCCAAGTTCCAGCCTTCCTCTCCATAGACCCCTTTCTCTTTTTCCATCCCTAGCACGGAGGCTCATGCAGCCACCCAGGAAGTCACACAATCGGTGGCTCTCTTCTGGCCATCTTCCTGCATATTCAATCCATTGTTGGGGGGGGGATCTCAAATTGTTTTGGGAAAGAAAAATCAATCTCACAACCCTTTTAAGTCATTATTTCAACTTCTGTTAAAGCAACCAAACCAATACCCTCACTAGCACTGGCCACTAGCACTAAGAGACACTGATCTGCGTACACCCCTGCGGTCAGCTGCAGCTCCTCCGAACACTCCATCAGACTGTCCATCAGGCGAAGTGACAGCTAGGTCTCAGGGCCACAGCAGAAACCCCACAGCCTGCTTCCTCGCAGCCCAGAAAATAAAGCCCCTGGGAAGATTCACTGCACCTCAGCAGGCTGACTACGACCTACTTCAGCGTGGCTCCCACATCTCCGAGTCCCCAACATCTCTCAGGTGCCATCGCCTTCCATACAAAAGGTGCCCCAGGCTCAGTGTGGCATCACAACCAAGTCCAATCCCTATAAATACTTCAGTGGAAACAACTGTTTTGTGCCCAAGGCTGAACATATAACTGGCCAGTCATCAGATGTCTACTGGCCATAGCCTGAGTCCCCTGTGCTAAACCCACACAGGAAAAATATCTTAAATCCAGAAATAAAATTGCCAGTCTGAATTCCTGATGAAACAGCAAACAATAAAACAGCCCACTGTAATTCGACTTTACAGCAGATCTGAATAGTAGAAGAAAATACTCTGAAATATAATTTTGAAAAACCAAGTACTAGTGAATAGGCACCTTGCACTATATTATGGGAAATCCCATTTTTAAATTAAGAGAGAAAAGGAACACGGCAAAGACGTATTTACAGCTACCACTCTACCACCAGAGATGCCCCAAGCCCACGCCCCGGCCCGGTTTTTGCCTTGTAAGAGCCAGAAATGCCACAACTAGTGACTCTGGTCTCAGGTCCACTTCCATGTGTACAGAAGTTAAGGTTTTAAATATGATCGCAACTGCTTGAAAGAAAAGTGCACATTCAATTATCTCTCATTTGTGTAGTTAAAGTACCATTACCAAGACAGAAAGATGGTATTAAAGAAAATGCTTCAGATACATTATATACTTTAATTTTTTTTTGTCCTAATCATTTTGGCCTCAGTAAATACAGTATTATAATTTTTTTTTTTTTAAAAACCTCTAGTCTATAATTGTGAACTAAATATGAACTAAGCAAAAGTAAAAGCTAAATCTTAATAGTCCTCCCTGTCCAAGGTCACCTCAGAGTAGAGTTTAATTGCAAAATCAAAGACGCTTGGCTAAGAATAAACCAACTTTAAAGTCTGATGAATGACAGATTCCAGAACCCCTGGAAAGCCAGGCAGTGGATTGGGCACCAGGGAGGCTGTGGGCTCCCAGCGGTTGTTCACATTCCAGCAAACCTGCAGGCTCAGTGCTGAAGGCTGAAAGCAATTCGTTCATCTGGTCAATCAGTGGATTTACAGCGCATTTCCCAAGAGCCGACGTGTCAGGCACCGTCTGAAGTGCTGGGGACAGGGTTCAGCCAGACACAGGACCGTTTCTGACATCTCGATGTTCACAGCTGAAATGTATGGAAGTATTTCTGGTAAAAATGACATGAAATCTAGGGATTGCTTTAAAATATTGGGGGGGGGGGGCGGGAGGAGAAATTAATGGAACAAGATTGGCAAAACGGCGGCCATCATTGAAGCTGGGTGATGGATTCTTGAGGGTGCGTTATATGATCCTCTCTGCCTTTGTGTACGTTTGAAATGAAAAGTCAAAAAAAAAGATGTTTAATAAAAAGAAAAAAGGAAGCTCACAGTCTGATCAGTGGAACAGTGAGTAAATAGAAACAGGCCACTGGGAAACCAGCGCCAATGGGGAAGCAGGATGGGGAAGCGGAGGTCGACCCAGGCCCAGAGAGGGTGTGCAGGTTTCCTGGAAGAGCTTCGTCCCGCAGAGCAGATGGGAGCGGCTGCATTTGTAACTGCATTTCAGGGAACCAGAAGGAACCAAAGAAACAGCACGGAGTAAGGCTGCGCTGATGTGCTGATGTGGGGGTAGCAGGAGGGTTTGCGTGCGCTGTGAACGGGGGAGCCAGAGAAGGGAGGTGGGTGAGTCGGGCCCCACTCAACAGCTGCCGCATGTGCACTGAGCCTGCCGTGTCTGGGGAAAGATGGCTGCCCAGAGGCCCCGCAGGGCTGGGCAGGGGAGCCCCTCCTTATCTGGTCTGTTCCCCCATGGGAAGAGTTTGCCTGTGGCCTGACACCCACAGGCAGGTGAGCTGCAGAGATCTCATGCCCCTTGCGCGTGAGTCGCACCACCAAGGGGACCAAACACATCCCTTAAAGTCCTCTCTGAGCACAAAGCCACGAACCTCCAGGTTGGAGTGGGGGTGGGGCGTTGATCCCAGGATCCGTGCCACCAAGCAGTGCCAGCTTGAGGTACAGGCCAACTTTGTGGATTGACCCTCATTTTCTAGGCCAGGGGTCTATCTCTTCCCAGCAACAGGACAGGAGCAGGCCCAGAGGCCTTCCTGCTCTTCTCTGCAGGGGCCACACCTTACAGGATGCCTAATAGCCACGTGGGGGGCCTCCCTTGAACATCCTGACACTCCCAGGGCTCCTCTGTCACCCGGGTCCTCTGCTCCTGTGGAGAAGCCTGTCTTCTCCCCTGGGGAAGTGAGAGATGACAAATCCATGACAGGAATGGTAACACCCACCTCCTGGCCATGGGGTAACCCCTTGGGGTGGGGGTAGTCAATGCTGCAGATCAGTCCAAAGCTGGCCCAGGAAAAAGGCAGCATCAGGCCCAGTGCTCTTTGGCCCTGTTTTTTGGACTTGCTATGATCTGGCCAATCCCACAAATCCCACGCCATGTTCCAGTCCTTCCCACACCACAGTTAAGCTCATGGGCTCAGGGGTCAGCTGGCTAGGTTTAAAGTCCATCTCCAACCCTAACTGACCCACAGTTTTCCCATCTACAAAATGGGAACAGTCCCATAGGTTGAGTTATGAGGTCAACATGTGTAAGGGACACAGCACAGTACCTGGCTCCTAGAAAATGCTCAATAAAAGTCAGCAATGATTTCTCTATGGTTTGAATACCCACCACCCACATGTGAAATACTCACCCTGCTTGCAAGCACCCCATCTCCACCTCTACTCTGAAATAGAGTGCCCGTGGGACCATGCCAGACAAAGTCAGACTTTGAGGGGCTCTAAATGTCACTTGGTTCGACTCCCTTGGTTGACCAGGAGGCAGGACAGATCAGAAGTAGCACAAGCGTCCAGGGGCTCAGGGAGCCTGGCTCTCCTGGCTGAAACCCTTGCTGCACAACCAGAGGGTGACACCCAGCACTCTGTCTGCCACGTTATTCCTCTTCACTGTAGAGGACACTCTATGTGGCAGACACTTCAAACAATCTACCAATGTCTATTCTCTCCTTCTTCCTAACAGAGTCCCCTAGGTTTTAGCTGGATTCATGGCCACTCCACCAGCGAGGTTATCTCCCAGACTTCCTTGGATCTAGTTGTGTCAGAAGATCAAGTTCTGGCCAATGAGTATTGACTGGAAGTAATACGTGCAATCCTACTCTGACCTTCCTCTTCCCCTTCCCATTCTCTGAATCACTGGTGTGGTGATGGGCCAGCTTTCCTGATGCACATGGAAGACATTCTAATGGATCAGAGATGAACCCTGGAGGACCGCACGGTGCAGGCCGCCCATTTCCTTGATGGCCTACCATCTCATGCTGTTTTGGGAGAGAAAACTCAATCTCACAACCCTTGTAAGTTGTTGTTATTTCAACTTCTGTTAAAGCAACCAAACCAATACCCTCACTAGAACGGGCCTCTAGACAAAAAGACTCTGGTCCTCTTCCTGGGGCCCCCTCCCGGCGAGCGATGAATAAGCACACACACATTCCCGATGAACTGCACTGGGCAGGGGGCGCTGATCACTGACCGGCGGAACGTCGCTCTTAGATGGGATACACAGGAGACATGGTTGTGGCAACCTTTGTTCTTTTGGGGTTTTATTTTTTGTTTTATCTTAATTCATGAATCTATGGCAGTGGCGTGGCTACAGGTGACAGGAAACATGAGCTAATGCAACAGGACTCATCAACGTTCTCACGCAACGAGCCACAGTATTAGGGCAGCTCTAGGTGACGGAATTCAGCACCTCAAAGGCATCATTGGGAAGCCAGGCTCTTTCCACCTCTGGGCTCTCTGCCATTGTCTGTGTTTGTCCTACCCTTAGGATGGCTGCCTTCAGGATCATAAGACTGCGACCACACTCGCAGGCCTCGCGGTCATACCTGGCAAGCTGCGCATTTCTACTGGAAGCAAGGAAGCCTTCCCAGAAACCCTCCAGCGGACTTCCCCGACCGTCTAACAGCCAGAGCTGTGTCACGGGACCATGCCCAAACCAATCCCTGCTACTGGGAACCAGCCACAACAGTCAGGGGAAACCAGTCGGGATTCACCTCCTGGCGGAGCCCACAAGGAGGGAGGGGGCAGAGACCTGAACAGAATCGGAGTTCTGTTGAGAACAAGGAGAACAATTCACACGGAGAAGAGTTGACAACACACACAATTATTTTTAAAAATTATTCTCAGACTCCGCCATCTGGTGACAGAACCAGTACTTCCCAGATCTAGCAATCAAAGCGCATACAGTCACAATTACATGTCTCAGAAACGTCAGTGCTGGTTACAGTGACAAACGGCAGAGCGGCATCCGTCGGCCTGCGGACTACACGTCCTCCCGACAAGACCCGTGATTCCTATTTCACAGGTGTTTAAATGTGCAGCATGAATTATTTACCAACTGCTTCTCTTCAAACAGGACTGGAGGTTTAGATTTCTTTAAATCCCTGAGACAGGAACGTTTTTCCCCTTCATCTGTGAATGACACGTATTCTCCCCTTGGAGGGTTTTTCCAGCTCAAGGTGGCTGAGCATTTCTCAACACGTCTGCCAGACCAGATGAAATAACTAATTAATTCATCAAGCCAGGATTTTCACTTTTATGTGTTCTTCAGTGATTTTTTTTTCCTGACATTTTGGAAGGCGTCTGTGTTTCATTCAACTTCGTTGATTTGTTCTTTCGTAAGGTTTAGAAGTAGCTACATATGAAACTGACATTCCTGTTTTAAAATGTTGAGAACAACTATAAGTACCTCAACAACAACAAAGAACAACATGCAGTTGGCAGGGGTTACTCACCACAAAGCCACTTGAAAAATATGGCTGATCCTTTTTATTTTGCCAGCAAATTATATCAAAATGTCCAGGAAAACACAAGCGGATTAAATAGGCAGGGTTGTAAAACTACAAAAGCAAGTGGTGTACAATGCAGGCTCGTGTGGTAAAAGCCACATCAAAAATGCGGCAAAACGAAGCGCTTACAAGGCCGGAGAATCAGAGCGGTGCCGTGGGTTCCGGGCACACCCGAAAGTGCAGGTCACCAAGGCCACTCACACTTTCTGAAAGCTGCACTTTCTGTGTTAACACCACCACACAGAGAAAAGAGCCTTTGCTCTGGATGGATGCACGGACGGGAGCGCTCATGCATGTCCTAGATCGAGGCTTTTCCAAACCCGATCTTTTTCAGGCCGGGTGCACACGCACTCACAGAGCTCTGACAAAACCCGTGCCCACTGCCGGCCCACTCCATGACTTGATCATGACAAAGCACAGGGCACCAGGCTGTCTATGGATAGTAGTCAAGGCTGGTGCCTGTGGGCAGGAACTCCATGCCCTTAACATACCTTTTAGAAACCTGCTGGATGGTTCAGCGGGAGGCTGGCAGCATGGGTGTCAGCTCAGAACGAACCCGCCTGCCCAAGGAGGTAGGTGGTCCCAGAGCGGGCAGCTACTGGCTGGGGGTGCTGTGGGGGGGCTGTTATAAGCTCTAAAACTTTGATTCAGCTTAAGTTAAAGCTGTAATGAAACACAAGCCTCCAAGCCCGTGGTTCTTATCATACACGGGGTGAAAACCCGAAAGCTTTTCTTCTAAGATCAGGAACAAGACAAGGATGCCCACTCTCACCACTCCTATCAACACAGTACTCGAAGTGCTAGCCAGGGCCGTTCGGCAAGAGCAGGGCATACAAGGCATCCAAATCAGAATGGAAGAAGTAAAAGGGTCTCTATTTGCCGATGACATGTTATATATAGAAAACCTTAAAGACTCTACCAAAAAAAAATTGTTAGAATAAACAAATTCAGTAAAGTGGCAAGACAAAATCAATTGCATTTCTATACACATTTCTAACAATAAACTATCAGAGAGAGAAATTAAGACTCACATTTATAATAGCATCATAAAGAATAAAAGACCTAAGAATAAACCTAACTAGAGTAGAAAATCTGTACACTGAACACTATATGATATTGATGAAAGAAATCAAAGACACAGATAAATGGAAAGATGCTCAGTGCTTATGGTTTGGAAAAATTAATACTGATTAAATGTCCATATTAACCGAAGCAATCTACAGATTCTATCAAAATTTCAATGGCATTTTTCAAAGTAATAAAAAAA